TAGTTTGAATAGTCAAGGCTTCCACTGCGACCACACCTTCGTTTTAGTTGTAAGGCTCTGTTTACCAGTTCCAGCAATGCGTTTCGTAAGCAGGAATGGTATTGTTGAACAATGTCTCGCGCATGCGCAGGACTCCGCCCTTAGTTAGGTTTTTATTTGGTTTGTTAGTATACACTGACAGCTATTATGTGCCTCCATTCTTATCCGTTCAATGGATATTTGTGAACTTCTGTCCTTGCCCATTATAATGGCAATATATATATCTGCATATTACAACGGGGCCTCTATAACCTCCCATTATAGTAACAAAGGACCCTCAATAGTTGTCTATAATAAGATCTACAGAAGCCCCGATGAGTAGGAGGGCACGGTGGTGTGCGCGGAAGGTTCCGGGCGTGAGCCGGACTGAAGCTGCCACTGGTGCTGATCTTGGTGGCAGTAGCAAATTTTTCCTGCACATTATAATTGCTATATATGGGTCTCCATACCTGCCCATTAAATGACTACATAGAGAGACATACATTGAGAGGTACACACAGACACATTAGTAAAGATGGGCAATATTCAATTATCATATCATAAATAATGAGAAAATAAATTATGTAGAGAAATGAAACATACAAATCATGAAGCACGTTTTCAAACGAAAGTCAGTTGTCCTATTGTTAGAAACTGATGCTTGGCATATAACAGACACATCAAATTTATATAAGCTTGTGGGTAAATTTTATAATCTGATACAAGGGATCATACCTTCAGGGGAAGGAATGTGGGGTATAATAGTAGAAATTTTCAAGACTATTAATACTTACGCCTCCCATTAGAAACAGTCCTCAGCCAGGCCCATCCATCATTTTTACAAGCTAATTCCTTCAGATCCATCTTAATGTAAGCAATGTCTTTGAAGAACCAAACTCTTATCATTTCAGACACCAATTCACATGTTCTTCAAATCCGTCCTATGCAAAGAATCAGGTATTAATAAACGGTTCATTGTATAAAACACTTATGAAGGGTTCAAAATGTTATGATCAAACAAAAGCTCGAGGACAAGCCCCTATCAATTTATTCATGGCATTCACATAGAATAGAGAAGAAAAGTTCTGAAGGGAAGCGATCACTTGGAAGACCTATGTGCGGATGGGTGTATAATATTAAAATGGAACTGGCAGAAATAGTAATGGAAGATATGGATGGGATTCATCTGGCTCAGGATAGAGATCAGTGATGGGGTGTTGACTAGCTGAGCAACTGCCAGTTTTTCAAGCACTCTACTCCATGAAGTTAGTATTTAATTGGCTGAATGACTGAACATGTTAACATTAATTTTTCCTTAATTAATTATTTATTTAATTTAAAATTCAACATAATTAATTTGAACCAAGCCATAACAAATGTGAGACAGAGCCTCTGAGGTCCTCAATATCACATTTGGCCTTAGCTTTGTTTACTTTCATTGTCAGTCAAACATATGGGACTGTCTTACACTGACATATTAAGAAAAAAATGTATGCAAAAACAAACACAGTTGGGCATATCTTGGAACTAACAAACCCACATGCCACTAATGCCAGATGGTACTTAGTTTGTAGATGCATACACAGTGTTGCATTGTAAAGACTGTCAAAAGCTTAGTTAAAAATTGTATAGAATACAGTAGGGCACCGCTTATACGGCGGGTTAGGGACCAGACCCCCGCCCTAAAGCGAAAATCGCCGAAAAGCGGATCTTTGCCTTATTTCACTTGCAAATGCATATCAAAGCCTAATAAGATGTTACACTATCATATAGTAAGTGCACAATAGCGCTAGGCCTAAGAAAACGATATGAAATTTAAATGAATATCAGTAATACACACATTGTCCTCAGCTTATAGTGATTGGTGAATATAAATTTGAAAATTGATATGCTTATAGTAGGAAGGATGAAGGAGATGGCGCATCTTCATCATCTG